AAGCAGCGGTAATAACCGGTCATGCCCAGAAATCGACGGAGTTCTCTGCGTGTGGTCGGTGGCGGAAATGAAACAATAGCCTGGATTTTATCAGACAGCGCCCTCACTTGGCCCTGTCCTACCTCCTTCCCTAAATAACGGACAGTGGCTTTCACAAACTCACACTTAGCGAGATTTAAAGTCAGATTAGCCATCTTTAAGCGGTCAAATACTTGAGCTAAAATCTGGAGGTGAAGATCCCAGGACGGAGTGTAGATGACTATGTCATCAAGATACGCGCTGCAATGAGGCACATTACACAAAACCTGGTTCACTAAACGCTGAAAAGTAGCGGGGGCGTTCCTCAAACCGAACGGCAACACGGTGTACTGGAGCAGGTTATCTGGAGTGACGAAAGCAGACACTTTAGAAGCAAACGGAGTTAGTGGCACCTGCCAATAGCCTTTTAGAAGATCCAGTTTAGACGTGGGGTGACAGGGGGCAGCGAACTCCACGCCACAGCATCATCTTGCACAGTATCAGGCAGTGGGGGAGAAACCTCTGCAGGGACTAAACAAGGCTGAGTCACAGCGGTAGCATGTTCATGAAATAGCTTCAAACGATTCACATGGCAAGTCATGGTTTTCTTTCTCATTAGAGGAGTTCTGATCACATAATTGGTTTCACTGAGCTTGGAGAGAACCTCAAAAGGACCCTCAAACTTTGGAGACAAAGAGGAACCCACAACAGGACTCAATAACAAAACCTGGTCTCCAGGTTGTAGCATTCTGACAACTGCCTTTTTGTCAAACTTCACCTTCATTTTCGGCTTTGCTTTGCTTAAGTGTTGCTGAGCTAGGAGATTAGCCTCCCTTAACCTTTTCTGGAACGTCTTGACAAACAAAGGTGCACTAACACCTGCAGAGGGAGCTGGCCACAAAAAACTTCTCTTTCAGGGCTTTGAGAGGGCCTCTTGGAGAGTGGCCAAAAACAAGTTGGTGGGGACTGAATCCAGTGGATTCCTGAATGGTGTCCCGAGCAGCGAATAATACAAATGGCAGGCCATCTTCCCAAGATCTGCCGGAGGTAAAACAATATTTCTTTAACATGGACTTCAGAGTCTGATGCCATCTTTCGACTACTCCCTGGCTTTCCGGGTGGTAACTAGAAGACTTGTGATGTTCAATGTGCAAGGTCTCTGCTACTTGAGCAAAAACCCGTGAGGTAAAGTTGGTGCCCTGGTCCGATTGTATGACTTTAGGCATTCCAAACACAGAAAAGAAACCTGTTAGGGCCTTAATGATGTTAGCAGTTGTAATGGAAGATAAAGGTACAGCTTCAGGAAAGTGGGTGGCAGAACACATGATAGTGAGAAGATATTTCTTTCCTGAACGAGAGGGAGGAAGTGGACCTACACAGTCGATGACTATGTGGTCGAACGGGGTGGAGATCACAGGAGTGTGATGTAATGGTGCTGGTCTTATTTTCTGGTTCGGTTTTCCCACGGTCTGACATGTTTGGCAACACTTACAATAGTCCGAGACCTAGCGTTTTAATCCGGGCCAAAAGAAATGGCGTAATATGGACTCATACATTTTGTTTATTCCCAAATGTCCAGACCAGTCACTCTCGTGAGCTAGAGCCAAAATGTGGGAACGGAACTTAACAGGTACCACAATCTGTTTTACATTGCCCCAGTCAGCCCCTTTTGCAGAGGGCTGAGCCCAACACCGAAACAAAATGCTATTTTCTAGCACATAAGCAGTAGTGCCACTTGCAGACTTAACATCACCACAAGCTAGGGCAAAGAAGGGCTTCAGAGTTTCATCTGAATTTTGAGCTTCTACTAGAGCATCACAGGTTATGGGGAAATTCTCAGGAGTAACCTGAGGCAACACACGAACTGCAGAATCTGGGTGTTTACCAGAATCTGAGAAAAGCTTGCTCAGAACGGAATCTTGGAGGGTTATATCTGGATCCCTCTTTGCTTGAGCTCGAGTTAAAACACACGCAGGCAAACTGTCGGTACTCTCTTGCACCTCTGGTTCTGTGATGAGCTCAGGAACAGGCACAACCAAACCTCCTGCGGCATCATTTCCCAGGATAAGATCCACCCCTTTCGTCGGCAGATCGTCCACTACAGCCACAGCTAAAATACTGGAAACTAAAGGACAAGACAGATTAATCTGATGCACTTCAGCAGCAACTGTTCTCATTTCAATGCCTTGTAAAATCACAGAGTAGCCGGCTCGGCTCATTTCAGAGAAAGGCAAAACGTTCTTTTTAATTAGCGTTTGTGAAGCTCCAGTGTCTCTTAATATCACCACTTTTTCATCTGTTGCAGAACCCGGAAGTGATACACGCCCCTCTGACGAAAATGGTTTATAGCATGGGTTTGGCTTGGTTACATTTATCCCAGCACAGGGTTTTGACGAACAAAGAGCCACTTCCGGTCGGGTTTTTCTGGGCGAGTTGCCGTTTTGTCTGTTTTTCTGCTTTAGAGCATAACAGTCCCGGATGACATGGCCACGCTTGTGGCAGTAAAAACACTCAGAACTCTCAGTAGCAGGGCGAAGTTTAGGAGGAGATTTGACTCCTCGTACGGGCTCCGAACGAGTTTCTTTGACTCGATGGGTGAGAGAATATTGGTCAGCGAGTAAGGCAGCTTCGGAGAAGGAAGCAACCTTCTGTTCATTTAAGTAGTGCACTAGTCTTTCTGGGACATGTCTTTTAAAGTCCTCTAATAGGATTAGCTCTTTGAGCTCAGCTAGCGAAGTAACATAAGAAGCAACACACCATTTCTCGAACAAAACCGATTTGTTATGAGCGTACTCGACATAAGACTGATTGTCTCGCGGCGTTTTGGAGCGGAACCGTTGCCTGTAGGCTTCCGGTATGAGTTCGTAAGCGTGCAAAACAGTAGACTTCACCGTATCATAATTAGCACTGTCTGTTAGAGACAAAGCCGATACCACCTGAAGAGCCTTACCTGTCAACTTACAGGTCAAAAGCAAAGGCGAGGCCACCGGAGCATCGCAGCCATCCTCTCGAAAGCAAGGAAGTACCCATCCACTTCAGTCTCTCGGAAGGGAGGCAGGAGCGTGAGGCATTTGCTGATGTCGAATGGTGGCGTAGAAGACGTAGGAGTAAGCGGAGTCTCTGGTTACGGTCGGATATCCCCAAGGGGAGGCGAAATGGCGGCGTCTGAGTCCTCGGCTGGTTGAACAGTCCGAACAGTGGCAGGATCATGCTTCCTGCTCTGTAGTGTGAGCTCAAGTTCTCGCAGTCGAATATCAGCGTCCAGTCTTTTAAGTTCAATCTCATGTCGAAGCTTTCTTTCCAGAGCGCGTTCCTCTGCCTCAATGTGCAAACGAGCCAGTCGGAGTTTCAGGCGAGCTCCGGTTAACGGAGACGACGAAGGGCTCTGATGAGGTGAAGAGGACTCCGAGGAGCAGGCTTCTTTTGGCTTCTCCATTTTCTCCTCTTCTTCGTTAGTCACCGGGGGTGACGAAGGGCGTGACACAGGCGGAAGAATCTCTTGTGCAACCAGGAAATCCAAGACGAACTGACGTAGGGCGTCTTTCGTTAGCTGCTTGGGGACAAGCAGACTGAAGTGGGCGGCAACCTGCTGCAGATCGGATTTTCTGCAATTCTCCAGCAGCCGGCGCGAAGGAGCCTCCACAAATGCCTGTACGTAAAAGGTAGACATGATTCCTGCTTCGCCTCTAAGAGAAAAAAATAAAAGGTTAGTTTCAAACACAGTACAAGCGAAAATTACGGGTAAAAATGTTATAAATAACAAAAATCCCGGACGAGCCCCCACTCTTTTACGTCCCTCGGCTTCGCTAGGAGCACGATGTGATTAAGGGAGTAAAGAAGATGTTGTACCGGAATGAAACAAACACTTTTAAAATTCTCTAAAGGTTATTTATTAACACAAAACAGCACTCTGGGCTGAAAAGGAAACAAAAAGGTCTTCCACGACTGGGTATTATTAAATCAAAGGGATTTCTAATAAAGAAACGATATCTAATAATAAACTAAGGAACACAGCACAAGGCTGGAATAAGGCTAAACGGTAAACACAAAACTGCACCAAAAGGGTGAGCAAAGTCTCTCTGTAACGAGGACACACGAATTACTACTAATATTACCAAAACTCAAAATACCACTCAGGTTGCAAAACAAACGAAAATACCACTCAGGTAACAAAACGAAGAAATACCACTCAGGTAGCGAACGGAGACTTTAACGTCTGTAAAGCGAGGAGAGCTAGAGAGGAGAGCAAACACCTCCGTGTCAACACCCTTCTGAAAATCTCTCTCAGAATGATAGGAAGCCTTCCCTTTTAACAGGGAGGCATAAATGAACTAACTGCCTGCAGCTGTGCAGGCAGGGGACCGAGGGCCTCTTGTGGCCAAAAGCTGACGGTGTACGTCACAAATATTAAATGATTCAAAGTAAAATGCTAATACCAAATCCTGGAAGATTGAAGTCTTTTGATGGAACAGCTGGAAAACTGCAAGAGAAATCTGGTTAGTTTTAAAATCCATTCTTTCCCTTTCGTATCTAGAACTCCGGTGAGTTTTATTGTTTTGGGATCGGTGAGAGCTCCTATTACAGGAGAACCTGCGTTAGTAGGTCAGTGACCACAGTCGTGGATTCCATAGGTACCAGTGTGGACCTAGATCCCTCTGGATTGGGTAGAAGACCCTCCGTCCTGGACTCATGTGTTAGTGCATTACACACCCGTTGGTATTATTTTTCACAGCCAGCGCTGGTGTTCCAAGATCAAACAAAGCTTGTTCCATCGCTATGATTAAGCAAACCCTCTCTGCGGACTCTCTCTAGACGAGAGCCCCTGATTTGTCCCCAGTCACGGGTTCTATACCTTAAATGTCGTCAGCTCCAGGTCATCACCAAAAAGCTCCAATCACAGTGCATGCTATACATTACTCATGTTTGATCACGCCTGTTTCTGCTGCAGATCTTATAAGCACACCCTGTCCGTGTTGTGAGCCGTGGTGAGTACTCGCTCTCACAAAATATCTCTGAGTGTGTTTGCAGGAGAGGGAGTGGCAGCTGCACCTCATCAGCTTAGAGGCTCAACTACTTAAGGAGATGGTGAACACAGCTCGACACTGGATGCAACTCGGTAATTCCCAGCCCTCGCTCTTCCTCTCTTGGTTACTCGTGATTTATCTAAGTGTATTTTGGCTCTAGTGTGTTTTTGGACCTTGTGTGACTTTTTGTATTTTTGGACTCACCCACCTCAGGCTCTCTGCTCATCTGGAATAGCTTACTCAACCTCCATAGGACTCCTGGACTCCGCATTCAGCCATGTTCATCCTCCTCCTCCCAGAACGACCCGCTCTCATCCTCAACCCTGCATTCCCTCTCCATCCCAGAACAACTCCAATCTGGATCACCCTGACTCTCAACCTCCCCTCATTCCCCAAACCAAATCATCTCCCATAAGTCTCCTCTCAGTATTCCTGCCTCGGCCGTTTATCTCCTGGACTCACCTCGCGTCAGTTTTACGCTGCATTGGGATCTGCAGTCAGAAAAGGTAAAAAACCCTTTTTGCACACAAGTGACGAAAAAGGGCACTTTTGGCGTCAAGGGTCTGACATGGAGGGTGGCTGACCAAGCGTTTGTTTTTGACACGCTGGAAGTTACAATGTGTTATCTTAAGGCGTTAGAAAGTGTTTTGTTTCTTCTCTTGATATGACGGAAGGAAATTGTCCATTTTGGGATTAAATCACAGAGCGAAAGCCGCCGAGAGCGAGCATACTTGCGTGATGGATGGCCGTTTGTTCTCTATGAGCGCTGCGCTCCTCCTCCCTGCGTAATTATGCCGGCTCTTTAAAAACCCTGATTGTGTCCAGCTGCGCGAGAGCGTTTACCTGGTGTCCTGACAGACAGGTGGGGCAGCGTGTCTGAGCTGTACACTGGGTGCATGGAGGATTATTTTTACGGATAAGGGATCCTTTTAAATTTTATACAATTGTTTGGAAAGGCTGGGGCTTTATGGTGCATGTGTGTGTGTGTGTGTGTGTGTGTGTGTGTGTGTGTGTGTGTGTGTGTGTGTGTGTGCGTGCATGGAAATGCGCTGTAGGATCAGCGGTGTGGATGTGCCGTTGTCTGTGAGCCCTTCCCATGAAACATAACAGGTTTATGTTTATTCGTTTAGCAGATGCTTTTATCCAAAGCGACTTACAATTTATAACCTATAGGGCATGTTGTGATCTGAGGGGGAAACCGGAGAACCCGGAGGAATCCCACGCATGCATGGGGAGAACACGCAACTCCCTGCAGAAAGGCCGCAGCCGAGGTTCGAACCTGCAACCTTCGTGCTGCGAGGCAACAGTGCTAACAACTGCGCCACCATGCAGCCCCAACATTGAAAAGGAAGGAAATCGGCAGTTTAATAATTTCCTTCCTTTTAACAGAAAGCGCTGGCACTGCTGTTTTTGTTCAGTTGATTATTTTGTTATACTTATTTTTCCTTTTATGAAACTCCTAATGTTTTCATTGTGAGTCAATTTTAGAAAGGGGGTCTGGTTGACTGTGGAGGGCCGCATACGTGAGAGGGCTCAGCCGTGTTACCAGTTGGTGTGGATAATAGTACATGTTTTTATTCTTTTTCTTGTTTGCATGATGATTGCCGTGCGTATTAAGTAAATGCATGTTACACAGCCCTGGTTGTTTTGCCTCCCTCCTCCAGCAGAAGGTGTCAATAGTCCCCTCTGGAGTTTTTAACTGTCTTGTTCCTTTTTTTAAATAGAAGAACTTGTTTTATGCATTGTGTGTAAATAAACTCAAGTTTGGAGGAAGACATTGTCTCAGCCCATTGTCTGATCTAGCGTGATCACTCTCCGTACCTAAAATAATAACAGTCGTGGGGCTCTAGGTTCACACTTGTACCAAATTAATATGTAATCAATTTGCTTTCTTTCAGTGAATTTCTACTTTGTGCAAGTGTGAACCATGTGCACGAACACATTCAGTTGGAATGGCATCCTTTGACTTGCATGTGTTTGTGGCGGCTCCTTCACCCTGACTGCTGGAGAGTTGCCGCAAAGCTGATCTGCAGCAGGTTGCCACCCACTTCAGTTTACTCCTGCCTAAGCAGCTAACCAAGGGTGCACTTTGTCAGCTCATCACGGATTACACAGGACCAAGAAAATCCATCCTCCGCCTTCCACTCCAGGTGCATCTCCGCCACCCTCCGGCGATGAAGAGGACTGGCTTGATGAAAGAAAAGAGACCCTCGCCACAGCTCCGCCTTCTCTGGGAAAGGACTCTGCTGGTGGCCCTCCGTCTGATGTAGCTTCGTCGGGAACTAGCCCTCCTCGTTCCCCACTATCAAGAGCTCGTCTGCAGCTACAGTTAGCACATCTTAAGAACAAAGCCGAAGAAAAGACTCACGAGCGAAATCTCCGGTATGAGATTGAAATGAAGCGTATGGACACGGAGATTCGCCTCCGTGAACTCGAACTACAGATGAGGACTCTGGACACTGCCGCGTCCTCGAGCCATACGACTGCCGGCCGTTCTCCAGTCTCGTCTTTGCCTTCCCGTGCCCTGCACCGAGACGCCTCACCATCTCCTCCAGGTGCCTCGTCGTTACCGCCTGGCTTCGACGTCAGCAAGTGTGTCTCCCTCCTTCGACCGTTTAGAGAAACTGAAGTGGATGGGTTTTTCCTTGCTTTCGAGCAGATTGCGGTGACTCTGCAGTGGCCTCGTGAAGTGTGGTCATTGCTTCTGCAGTGCAAGCTCTCAGGTAAGGCCCTTCAGGTTATTTCGGCTCTGTCTCTAACGGACAGCGCTAGTTATGAGTGTGTGAAAGCGGCTGTTTTAAACGCATATGAACTCGTTCCTGAGGCTTATTGTCAGCGGTTCCAGTTAGATAAACCTAGGCCTAATCAGTCCTATGTAGAATATGCTCACCTTAAATCTGCTCTCTTTGAGAAATGGTGTTCAGCTTCGGGAGTAAACTCCTTGGCTGACCTAAAAGAATTGATTTTGGTGGAAGAATTTAAACGACATGTGCCTGAGAGGCTTGCTTTATATTTGACTGAGCAAAAAGTCTCCTCTCTTTCTTCTGCCGCCCTGTTAGCGGATGAGTTCTCCTTGACTCATCGGTTCAGAGAGTCTAAACCTGACTCTATCCAAGTGGTGAGACCATCTGTTAATCTGCCTGGCCCAGAGATCTCGCCAGTTCTTTTATTGTCATAAATGAGGACATTTCATCCGAGACTGCCCCATGCAAAAATAGGAGAAGTAGAACCTCTCCTACAGCCAAGAAAGTAGCCTTGTGTTCAAAAAAACCTACATCAGTGGATAAATGTGAAACACCTCACTCTAGTTTGAAACCGTTTTTTTCCTCTGGGCTTGTGTCGCTGGGAAACTGTGAAATCATACAGGAAGTGGTGATCTTATGAGACAAGGGTGCATCACAGACGCTAATCAAACTAAAGGTGTTACCCTTTTCTACAGCTAGCCATGCTGGCTTCTCAGTCTTACTACAGGGCATTGAAATGGGTGCCGTTCCAGATGAGGTTCATCATCTTCGCCTGACCTGTCCTTTGGTTACGGGGGGACCTGAAGTTCTGCGTTTTAGATGAGTTACCAACTCAAGGTGTGGACTTGATATTGGGAAATGATGCTGCTGGGGGTGTAGTTTTACCTCCTCCTGAGCTTGTTTCTTCCCCTGAAATTGGGGAAGACTCAGATTTATCCCGGTCCAGATCTTGTAATAACGCCGTCCGATCTGGCCGCTGGAGGTCCTTTAACGGACTTACCTATCTCTTGTGAGACATTGGCTAATGCTCAGAAAACAGATAAAACCTTAGACCCTTATTTTTCTGTGGATGGTGTTGCTCCGTCGTCCCCTCCATGTCTGGCTACCTATGTGATTGATGATTACATATTGTTCCGCTGCTGGACTCTGCCCTCTGCCAACGACTCTTAATGGGTCCAGATTAAACAAATTGTAGTTCCGGAAAGATTCAGAAACCATATTCTCGCCTTAGCTCATGAAACCGAGTGGTCCGGTCATCTGGGAATTAATAAAATCTACAATGCTATTTTACGCCACTTTTTCTGACCGGGTTCGTTCTTTTCCTGAGCTGTTTTCAGACATTCCTACACAAACTCATCACCCACGGCATTTCGCTGTCAGACTCAACCCCCGTGAGGATGCACCCCTACCGCGCCAGTCCTCAGAAGCGTGAGTTAATGAAACAAGAAGTAAACTATTTACTAGAGAACGGCTTGGCTAAGCCCAGTACCAGCTCATGGAGTTCACCCTGTTTGTTAGAGAACAAACCCGATGGTACATACAGATTCGTCACAGATTATCGTAAATTAAACACTGTTACTGTTCCAGATTCGTCCCCTTTGCCACGTGTGGACGACTGTGTCGATCGCGTGGGTGCCGCCTCTTTTGTCACCAAACTTGATCTTTTGAAAGGCTATTGGCAAGTCCCATTGACCCCTTTTGCATCCAAGGTCTATGCTTTCGTGACTCCAGATAACCTCCTACAGTACACGGTATTGCCCTTTGGCTTAAGAAATGCCCCTGCTACTTTTCAGAGGCTTGTGAATCAGGTTTTGTGTGATGTTCCAAACTGTAGTGCCTATCTAGATGACATAGTAATCTACACTTCGTCATGGGAGCATCATATTCAGACTCTGAAACTCGTCTTCGAGCGCCTGAGATCAGCTAAACTCACTTTGAATTTAGACAAGTGTGAGTTTGTGAAAGCCACAGTCCGCTACCTAGGAAAGGAAGTATGGTAAGGTACGTGCGTTATCATATAAGATCCAGGCCATGGTCTCTTATCCTTCTCCAACATCTCCTCCTCCAACAACCTGTCGTGAGCTCCGACGATTCAAAGGTATGGCTGGTTTTTATAGATGTTTCTGTCGGAATTTCTCAGTTGTGGCTCAGCCTCTCACTAACATGTTAAGCACTCGTGTTCCTTTCACATGGACCCCAGAATGTCAGTCAGCTTTTGTGTCGTTGCAAAACCTCCTTTGCTGTGCTCCTGTTTTAGCTGCTCCAGATCTTTCCCGAGCATTCATCCGGCACAAAAGGGGCTCTGACAACGTCATTGCAGATGCTCTATCACGTAGTCTAGTATGAGGCTCCCTTGTAGACTTATGATCCCCGCCCCTTTGGGCGAGGATCCTTTCGTTGTTTTATTAGTATTGGGAGCTATGAAGGTTTGTGTTGCCTGTGTATCAGGCTTCTTGGGAGCACCCCAGGAGGAGCTGGGGCTAGCCCCCTCTCTTTGCTGGTTTAGATGTCCTTCTGCACATATGCTTAATCTGCCCACCCTCGCGCTTCCATGAAGACCAGGGTGAGCTAGCTAGAGTGCTCGTGTGTAGATAGCGGGCGACCAAATATTTTAAAATTTTTAGAATAAATGTTGGCCCTGTTTAAGCCCCCCCATTAATTCTCTTAAGGGGTGGGGTGAGGGGGGTTCATGCGTGTAAAAACTCTGGACATCTCCTGTGATTTAGATTCATCATATATTTCCCCCAGTTTCAGCTGAGTGTCTCATTTAGTAACAAAACATGATTGTAAATTCTCTTTCAAGTCAAGTTTATTATATAGCCCATTTCATACACAAAACGGTAGCCCAATGTGCTTCACATTGTTAAAACAATCACAAGTGAAATGAAATAGTTACAATGTCACATCATGTTGTGTAAAATAAAATCAAAGAATATACAGAACATAGCACAAAAAATAAAAGCATATTAAGAAAAATTATTGGTAGCGCTTTCTTTTACAGTCCTCTAATTACTTAGTACTTACATGGTAATTACTTAGTAAGTTAGTGTATTTTTTTTCTGAGTTCTTAAATTGTTATTACCATGTAACGCAGGTTCAATTCTAGTTTTTATTTTTATTAATCATTCCAAGTATATACTGCTTTACACAGTAACTACACTTTATTACAAGTATTCACTTTGACTGGTCACTGACTAGTGACTCTCCGAGACATGCTAAAGGCTAGCCTCTACGATGCTAATGCCAGCCTATCCATGCTTAAGGTCCGTCAAGGGCAGGGGTGTCAAACTCCTTTTAGCTCAGGGGCCACATTGAGGCAAATCTAGTCCCAAGTGGGCGGACCAAAAACAACTTCAGATTGTTTTCTTTGTTTTAATACAATCAATATAAAACAAGGCTGGAGCTTGAGGACAGTGTATCCTAAATAGTATAACACCTAAAGTGTACTTGAAAAATTGAAGAAAAAAAATCAATAAATAAATAAACATTCCTTAGTGGTTCAAAGAGCTTACAGATCACATGGCTAGATCACTTTCATGCAGCACTTAAAGTATATTTGACTCATTTTACTTTACATCTTTTAGCTTTCACCAGCACATCAATATCAGAAGTCACATCCTGAGTGGCAGCTAAATTCAGGATGTGATTCAAGTTCTTGTGTGAGTGAGCCTTGAGCGCAGCTTTGTTTTATTTATACTCATTACAGAGAAAACTTGCTCACAAAGATAAGTTTATTTTCACTCTACATTGTAAAGTATGAAAATAAAGTTTACACAACCATCTCGTGGGCCGGATTTAACCTGCTTGCGGGCCGGATACGGCCCGCGGGCCGCATATTTGACACCCCTGGTCACCCCTGGTCAAGGGGGTAGGAAATCCAGCTAGTGGAATGCCTAGGCATGCTTATGGGTAGCCACTCTGATGCTAACGCCAGCCTATCCATGCTAATGGTCCATCGAGGAGGTAGGACATCAAGCTAGTGGCCAGCCTAGGCATGCTAATAGATAGCCACTCCAATGCTAACACCAGCCCATCCAGGCTAACGCTAGCCTATCCATGTTAATAGACAGCTGAGGGAGTGTTTGAATCAGTCAATGACCAGCTGAGGGCTGCTAGTTCCTAGCATATCTAGTAACAATAGTCACGTTTTTTTTCTTCAATAATATCCCGCCTACTTTGGTGTTGCGATTGGCCCATGAAATCTATATAGCGCCATGATTGGACCACTACAGAATGGCAGCCATCTTGATTTGTAGTTTACCTGGCTGATACCTGTGATTGGACCGTTTCGAGCGGCAGCCATGTTTGTTTGCAGGGACATCCCGCCTACGCTGTGATTGGCCCAAAAAAACAGTAAAGCACTGTGATTGGAACGCCACAGATGTCAGTCAACGGGGCAGTCTGCCGTTACCAAGTCCCCACAATGGAGCTCTAAAATTGAGTCCAACGCGGAAGTACCAAAAATTGCAGTTCCACCCTCATCCGCTGGGGGCTGGTGTCAGAAGCGAGCAAATCCTCATTGACTCCCATGTTAAAAATACCAATTTCACAGCAGAAATAAACATGTTTACAGCCTGGTACCAAGACATGTTTTTTGTTTAAATTATCTAGTTTACACTCATGACAACTCTGAGGGGGGTGATTTTTTTCTCACTCTTCTGTTTAAGTGTATTAAAAGCCTAAAATTCTGTATAATTAATGAGCATCCAACACACGTGACCGTCGCCTCAGACCCACGTGACCACAGAGCTAGCTCCTTGGAAAGGCCTCAGTAGAGCCTTGATCTGGCTTGGAAACTGCTCCGGCATTTTGAGTCTCTGTGTTTGTGTATTCTGTTTTGGACATTTTTAGTGCAATTGTTGGACAAAATGACTTGCTGTGGCATTAATTGCACTAATAGAGCGTCCAAGGAGTCTCCACTTCATTTTTGTCGGTAAGTAAAATTATATTTATTTATTTTAGGTCACTGCCGAGCTGAGCTTAGATTTTAACATGTACTGTTTAACCATGAAATTTAAATGTAATAGGGTAAATTTCCCTCTGGGATTAATAAAGTATTTCTGAATCTGAAAACCCAGTGCATTTGACATAATGCTGCACTTCAGAAAATGGGTTGAAATATAACATGTTGGTGGAGCTGGGTTCTGACTATCGGCTTGTGGAGCTCTCGGGAGACCGATGTTTTCCACCCGCTTCTCCCCTGGCTTCGCAGCTTCTGTTTGCTGCGCGGAATGCCGGCTGTTTCTCCCTGCAGCTCGGCGCAACTCTGTCTGATCGCGGCTTCTGTTTGCTGCGCGGGCTGCCAGCTTGTGGAGCTCTGGGATGGAAACCTTTCCACTCGGTTCTCCCCAGCGTTAGCTCTGCGCATCTCAGATCGCAGCGGCGCTTGTCTGCTGTGCGGCTGCCAGCTTGTGGAGGTCTCGGAGACCTCTGTGTTCCACACGGTTTCACCCAGCG